ATTAAAATTTACCTCATTCTTGTCAGGGTCGAGAACTGAATGAAATAAATGAATAACTGAGGTATTTGCATCGCTTGCCACGTCAGCCACAGATGCGAGATTAGCTAAAGCGTCTGCTTCAAGATTTTCATCCCTTGGTATTTGTGTAACTTTCCAGGTTTGAAATTGCTTTATTAACTCCCGCACCTTTTCTAAATATTGCTGCATCCGTACTTCCCTGGCTGTATAAGTCCCCAGCATTTGATTAACCACGAGTTGTGAATCGCTCTTGATTATAATCTGATTTATGCCAAGTTCTCGTGCCAATTCTAAACCTGCAATCACAGCCTCATACTCTGCCTCGTTGTTAGTTATTGATTGACATTTGATAGCTTGTCGAATAGTTTCACCCGTAGGTGGTACCAAAACAATCCCTAAACCTTCTCCTTTTACATTAGATGAACCATCAGCGAATAAAGTCCAAGTTCCTGGATTAGCTCCATTGAGCACCTGTAATTCTTTTTGTGCTTCTAATTGCATGTCGTGGCTAAAATCAGCCACGAAATCAGCTAACACTTGTGATTTTATAGCAGTTCTAGGTTGGTACGTGATTTCGTATTCACTTAACTCTATTGCCCACTTAGCCAACCTACCTGATAATTCATGCGTATGCAATATATTACGTAAAGGATAGGCGGTTACTACAGCAATAGGATGACACTGAAAGTAAGGCCTTAATTTCCTAGATGCCATGATTAATGCGAGTGCAAGCTTTTCCAATTGAGGATACCGCGTTTCCGCATCTAACAAAGATTTACTAACATAATAGATAGGGGATTGTTTACCTTGTTCTTCTCGAACCAAAACCGCACTTACCGCTACTTCTGAAACAGCAAGATAAATGAGCAATCTTTCCCCGGCCTTTGGTTTTGCTAGTAACGGTGGATTTGATAAGTACACTTTCAAATTCCTGAGTGCTTGCTGACACTCTTCGTTCCATTCAAAGATCCTGCTTCTTAAGAGCTGAGAAGAATTGAAAACACTTCTCTGATGATTTAGAAATGAATCTTCCCAAAGCTGCAATCCTCCCTGTTAATCTTTGAACCTCTTTCTTGCTCGAGAGTATATCGGGGATTTCTTCAATGGCCTTAATATGTGCAGGATTTACCTCAATACCACGGTTAGAAACAAGAAAACCTAAGAACTTACCTGATGCAACACCAAATGCACATTTTTCGGGATTTAA